GTCCAAGATTAACCTTCAGGGTGGATATAGCTCGCTAGCAGCCTCGCACCGAGGACCTATCCACGTCATCATTTACCCAGAATGCTTTGTGTGGAAATAAAATGGCTCCGTCCGTGTTAAAATATATTTTTAAAAATTTAGTTTAAAAATGATAAAAACTGAACATCCTACAGTATTTTTACAGTCTTTATTTTACAGTTAAAATAAATGTTTATGGAATAAAGTCTAATGTTACAACTAATCATGGATCCCTTTAAGCTAACTGGTCTTCACAAACACAAACTGAATCTGACTTTGATTTTACAGACCTTGAGCTAAAATTTACAGGAACTAGCTGACAGGTGTTCACAAACACTTCAAGCCCAAAGTGATCACATGATGTTTTGATTAAGTGAGATTTCTCAAAACGTTTTTTTTAAGATTGAACCAAACTGGCACCAAGTCTTCATCCAGATGATTTCAGATTAAAACCCTGACATGACAGGCAGTGAGAGTCTACATGCATTTTTTAAAGAAATTATAGATTTTTAATATTTCTTTACATTTGCAGAGAAATGTTTTGGTCAAAATGTGCTAAAAGTCAGAAAGAGAAGTGAATTAGACAAAAAAACAGATGAAACTAAATTAATAAAACAAGAAGTGAAACTGGTTTTATCATGTTTGTCTCACTGCCTCACTTCTTCTTCACACTGGAATCATTTAGTTCCTGAAAATATTAAACATATAAAAGTGTGTGTGTGCGTGTGTGTGTGTGTGTGTGTGTGTGTACCTGATATAGTAACGAGGACATTGAGTCCTTCTAGGACGTCCATCTGCTGGAAGCGCCGTCGGTTGATCAGAGGGTAAACTTTTCCCTGACCGCTGCGRTCCAGCAGCATCAGGCCGCTCTCTGTTCCCACCAACAGGTTCACTCCTGCACACATCAAACACAACCTGAAAACTACACACCTCATGTGTGCACATGCTGCATAGTCTGAGGTATAATCCCATGTTTGTCATGAAAACCAACAATAACTGAACATTTATTATTCAAACAGRAAATAAAGGACTCCTGCACACTGCAGAGGCTGTTTTTGTCTCTAAACACAACAGTTTGTGTGTCAAATGTCGACAATACACTTGAAGACTTTCTTTGTGTGTAGAAAAAAAACACCTTCAAAATGTACCAGATCTGATGAAACTGAGAACTTTATCACTTTACATGTTCTGTTGTTTGTAGCAGCCAACATTTCGTACGCAGGTCTATTTGATAGTTTTTAACACAGGATGAACATTAAAACAATGTTTATCTGCATTATTACTAAACTTTCATCTGATGAATTGGTTCAAACATTCAAAATACCACATTAAACTAACTGTGACTAATTATTTTCAGGTTGTACATGTAATAATAATAATAATAATAATAATAATAATGGCCCTATTTATAGTTTTAGGGACTCACACAAAATTTAAATTGTATGGATGTTTTTATAAACAAAAGGTAGAACAACTGTTTTATTACTCAAACCCTTATGAAGAGTTTGTAATATTTGTGTGTTTTTTTGTAAATCTGCTTTCATATTGTTGTGCTGTGAAAGAGTTTTGTTATTTGTGACATCTTGATATGATTGGTCAAACATTTGTTTCCACTTCCTGTTTAAAATGGTTTTCTGTGTTGTTAAAGTTGTTGCTTGATGAAAAGGTGTAGCTGCAGGTAAATTCCTGCTTCAGGTGTTGAGGGTGTATGAAGAGTGTTGTTCTGCTTTTTTTAAATTACAAAACTCATTTATTTCATTACATGTGTCTGAGGTTTGATGTTATAAACCTTTTCTGTAAATGWGGTGTTTTTGCAGGGTTTGCTCATAATGTATAAAGTTTTCTGTCTTTTAGTTAGGTATTTGTTTAAAGGTGATAATGTTTAAAAGGAAGACTTGATTAAAAGTGTTAAAAGGTAATAATAAGAGCAGGTAAAATGTCAAACACATACACCAAACATCTGGAGGACTACAGTTTCTTTGACAGTCCTGTTTCRCCTCTAAGTGATGAAAAACTCATTTGTGTCACATGAGCTTCAGTAGAGATTTGCTGCCATCCTGTGGTGAAGAACAACTAAGGTTTTAAGGAAATATGGTTTGTCACAGATAAAGAATAATCTGTACTTTTACATGAGGAAACGTTGTATGACCTTAATTATAAGTTAGTTTCACACATAGGYATGTTTTAATAAGTTTGCAGAAACATACATGTTCAGTTAGTTCAGACGTCTGCAGCCTTTATAAAACAAGTTTACCCAGTAAATACTACAACTCATTAAACTCCAAGTTTAAAAACTCTGAGAAAACATTAATGTGCACTAAAACAGCTCTCCTAAAGACCTCCTGACAGACGCTGACTCTGGACTCCTCTCCATCCTCTGTAGGACTCGGTGGTCTGGTTCTTGTCTTCTACCTCCCTCTTGTGTCCTCTTCACATTATTACTTCTCCTCCRTCCTCAGTTTTCTCTCCATCTTTCCCTCACACCTGTTTCTTTTAGAATTAGCTCAGCTGTTTCCACTTGCACTCACCCCAGCTCTGTGTTTAGTCGGTCTGTTTTCTTCACTCCGGTCATTGTTTGGTTCTCTGTCCTGGCGTCCCTGCGTTCTACAGTTTTTGTTTCTTGTTCTGCCGCCCCGCCGGCTTTAATTTAAATAAATCTTTTATTTTACCTGAGCCGGCCTGTTTGCCTGCATTTGGGTCCATTCCTGCCCACCTGACCTGACATCCTCCCTGATTTAAGTGCTGCCTTTGTCACGATATTTTAGACACACTGCCTAACTGGTTTATTTCATACCATTCTGGCCAAACTGACTTTGTTCAACTTTTCCTCCCATTCATCCCCTCTCTGTTCTGGTGTTCCACAAGGTTCTGTCCTCGGCCCTCTCCTTTTTATCATTCCGTTCTGAAATATCTTTTGAAAACATAACATCCAATTCCACTGTTACATAGATGATACCCAGTTCTATCTGTCCACCACCCCCCTCCCACCCACCTCCCTGTCTGACTGCCTCTATGGCTACGTTCACACTGCAGGTCTTAATGCTCAGTTCCGATTTTTTTGAAAAAATCTGATCTTTTTGTGTGAACGTTCACATTACATTTTAAATGTGA